GAGAGAGAGAGAGAGAGAGTTTTGTTAAAATATTATTTTATTATTATTTTACTTTATTTGTTTATTTTAAATACTTTAAAAGATTAAAAATTAAAGAGGGTGTACCATGGGTATTTTTGGTAGTTAAATATGGTGTACTTAGTTAATTTTACATTGTAATTTAAACATTAGGATGTACTTAGATCGTTGGGTGTACTCAGTTAATTTTAGGGTTCGTTTAGCAGCACTCATAATTAATTACAAGGATTAAGCCGTTAAATGATCCATCTATTGCATTGTTTAGGCATTGGTTGGTAGCAGAAAACAATGATAACAGATTATTATGATATGAAGCTTTTTCCTTCTGCCCTGTTTTTTTTTAAAAAATTTTGGGATGTGATGATGGGGAAGACGACGTTTTAGTCCATGTCACTATCATCTTTGTCATTTCTTTATTTATAGTCCACCCCTAGCCAAAGGCAAACCATATTGCGAATTGTTTTCAATGAAAAAAACCAGTTTAATTCATTTATTTATTTATTTATAGTCCACATGATCATGAAATTCCTTTTTTAGTAAAAAAATGGTGGCAAAGTGTGCAACCACTCCGAGCCGGGGAGGGGTTAAGGTTAAAGCTCTCCCCATGGGATTCTTTACACATGCGGAGCATCGAACGCAGGACCTCACTGAGGAGCCTGCTAACATTCGGCCAAACATGGTGGACCTAGCCCCAACCACTAGACCAAAATTCAAAAGCTTCTACCTCAGAAGAGGAGAGTCAGCAGCGGCCGGCAAACATATCACTGTCAGTCAAACCCGAACAAGTTGATAAGATTCTATTGTTTACAACGTGGGCCAATTTATGCTTTATGTTTGGTTTGGAAAAGGCTGGGTGGGGTGTTCAGGGGAGTCTACTCTACTACATCAAGGAAGTTGTGGGGAAACCATCTCACTCCGTCGTACTATCTATCAGTTTAGTCTAAACCACATAAAATTCCAATTTCCAAAAATATGTATAAAATGCTCGTTCCTTTATGTTCGAGTTTGATTTCTCTTTATGTAAATTATATTAAGAGTTAATCGTTTCATTAGTCCCTGAACTTAGACTCAATTTGCATTTGAGTTCTTCAATTTCCAAAATCGTTCCCATGATCCTTTAACTTCACTTTTGTTGGGACAAATGGTCCTGCCATTAATTTTGTTAACTTTTTCAGTTAAATGCAAGGGCAAAATGGTATTTTTATATTAAACCAAAAAAATGAATAAAAAATCATATCTTTTAAATAACAATAAAAGAAAATCAAATAAAAAATCAAGTTTGGGGGGAGTAGAAATCGAGATAGAGGGAGAGAGAGAGAGAGAGAGTTTATTTTTAATTTTTCAATTTGTTTAATTTTTTAAATTCATATTTTAATCAATTTAATACAAAAATAGCATTTTGCCCCTGCATTTAACAGAAAAGTTAACAAAATTGATGGCATTAGAGCTGTCAAACGGATCGTTTTAGCGGGTTTCGGGTCGTTAACGGGTTAACCCGTTTTCTTAACGGGTTAACACGAACATGACCCGTTAAGTTAACAGGTGACAAATACTAGACCCAAACACGACCCGTTACTATTCCCGAATATCCGACACGACCCGTTAACCCGTTAAGAATAAACCAGAAAAAAAAAAAATTAAAAAAATTAAAAAAAAATCAAAGCACAGCTTCTCTACCCAGCTAGCCAACACCTTCTCTGTCCTTTTTCCCCCAAACCCCAACCCTAACCTTTCTTCCCTCTTTCCCTTTACATTTCAATCTTCTCACCCCAAAATAGTATATATCTCTCTCACAAATATATTAAAACCCAACAACAACAGAAACTGAGGAAAAAAGAAAATTCAATCTGTGGAACTCGACCCAGATACCTCCTCCTTATTCCCTGGCTGACTCTGGTGGCTGGGCTCGTTGGTGGACTCTAGTGGCTGGGCTGACGGAGTCTGTTGAGTGGAGAGAAGCAGAGAAGAAGAGAAGAAGAAAAAAAGGAGAGGAAGAGCTGGAGGAGTCTGTTGAGTGGAGAGAAGAAGAGAAGAAAAAAAGGAGAGGAAGAAGAAAAGGAAAAAAAAGAGGAATGGTGTTGGAGTTGGAGACGGATATTTTTTTAAAAACACATTTAGCAAAACTACCAAATTACCCTCCTTAACGGGTGAATGCGAATATTCTCGAATTGACCCGACCCAATCCGTTAGCTTAACGGGTGGCTAACGGGTTCACCCGTTTTCAACCCGACCCATTAAGCTCAACCCAAATACTGATAATTTCGTGCGAATTCGTGTCATGTTAACGGATCGTGTGCAATATTGTCAGGTCTAGATGGCATAACCATTTGTCCTAACGAAACTGAAGTTGAAGCACCACGGGAACGATTTTGGAAATTGAGGGACTCAAATGCAAATCGAGTCTGAGTTCAGGGACTAATAAAATTAGATTCGTTTACGTTCAAGTTTGATTTCTCTCTATATAAATTATATTAAATGCATAATTTTGACTCTCGCATTGTATATAAAAAGAAGATATCTTCTAAGATGTGATGTGAGGTACCATATACAACATAGAAAATTATTACGTTAGAGGCTTGGAGAGACGAGGGTGTTGGGGACATGCCATTCGTAAACGCGTTTTGGTGGTGGGGGAGGCCGCAAACGCGTTTAATTCTTAGGAGTTTGCGTCAATGACGTCCAAAACACTACCAAGAAGCACCGAAGTGCCACAACACACAAAAAACCGAGTCTTTCTTTCAACACTTTCCATATATTCCTTCCCACTCTTTCTCCCACCCACCTGCATTGCCTTCTTTATTTAAACCCCTCCACCATTCAAAAAGCTCAATCAAACATACACTCACTGATCACAGACAGACAGCAGACAGAGAGAGTAGAGCAATGAAGATTAATTCCAAAGGAGGAAAGGACTTGAACTTGAACTTGAACCTGAACAAGAAGAGTGATCAACAGAAGCAGAAGCAGCAGCCATATTGCTTCAAACCAAAAGCAGCTGCTTCTCCTCCTGCTAGTGTAATTCCAGCAAAGAGGAGGTCAGTGAAGAGAATCATTCTTAATGATTTTGTCCAATTCGTTTCTTCTCTTTTCAAAACCAACAAGAAGCCTAAGCCACCACCAAAGTCTAACAAGAAGAAAAAGAAGATTGTGATCACCAGCTAGTACTGTAGTGTAAAAGTTGTCCTCTGTTCTAATTCTAGTACAGGTGATTACACATAAAACATGCAAATGTTTTGCCATTTCTCTGGCTTTCTGTTGTACCATAGTTTTAATGTGAGTTGGTGTTCTAATTACTCGCTTGGTGTGTCTAGTTTTTTTTTCTCTTTTTTTCTGGCCTTAAACTACTAATTTGCACTCCTTTTGGATTTTGACTTTTCTGGGTTGATGATTGTGTAATTCATGAACAGGGAGTTTCCAAAATAACTCCGCAGCCATTTTTCCAATTGAAATTAAGACCCGCCAACACTCGGCTTCAAAACCACAGCGATGACACATAATAATCAGTCAATTATAAGGGGGGAGAGAGAGAGAGAGAGAGAGAGAGAAGTTTAGATGAATTGTCATTGCAAATCTGAACAATAAAGCTCAACTTAGTATTTAACACCACTTGCAATTACAAGGAACATAACACGTCATTTTGTAAAAGTTTCTCTACCATATCCTACAACCATGTCACCTCCTAAGAACAACAAAAGTGCTAAGTAGAGAAAAATGGAAACAATCTCCCACAAACCGCATAAATTGCAAATATTCAATAACAGAGTGTGGATGTTCCATTACACTCTCATTCCGGTTCAGGTGAGCCGCCAGGGACCAGCTGCATTGTGCACAAATATTGGAAAATTGATTAAAATAATTTGAATATATCTCATCTTTGTTTTATGATGGCTCTAGCTTCTATTGCAAAAGCCAAGAACCAGCCACCAAAAGCTTTGCACCAGTAGTTTAAAGCACTTACAGCGAGAAAAAAGGGCCACAAAAAGTGCAGTAGAAAACTTGACAAACAAAGACCGATATGTCTTACAATGGAAAATAAAGTGCAGCAAATAAAGACCAACATGTCTAACTTACAATAGCAATGTTGTTTCCGTTGAGCAAAATCTGATCAAGCTTGGTTATACGTCTTCCTTCAGGCGTAATCTCACTATGATATAAAGAGAGAAATAGAAAAGATGTTCAATATTAGCAGGTATAATATAAGTGGACTAACCATGTAGTCATAGAATGAATGACTAATATAAACTAAAAGTGTCTAAATTGATTATATATACAAACACTCTGTATACCAGAGATATCCCAGTTCAGTTCATCTCTTCTGATCCCAATATATTACAGTATGATAAGACTGATGAAAATAAGCAAGATGCAAAGAAAAGGTATGATGACATGAGGCTAGAGGGGAAGGTTCTATCTACCTTGTCAAAACAACTTGTAATCAACATCATGTTTAATTAAGATATTTCCTACAACTATAGCTTAAAACAATTATATAGCTTTGTCAGCTTTATCAATTCAATCCAATATAAATCCATGTTTCAATTGATCCTTATTGAAAATCCCAACTCCAAGTATTTTCTATAAATTTGTCAGCTTTATCAATCTAACATAAATTTATGTTTCAACTGATCCCTACTGAAAATCCTAACTCCATGTTTCAACTGTGACATTGTAACATACAAACTAATCGGTTATTCATAATGTGCTCTACCACCAAACCTAATCCTAACCTTTCAAAATAAAAAAAAACTAGTTCCCATTGTATATAACTGGGAACGGAAGCTCTAGCGGCTGTCCTGCATTATTACAGTATTAACTGAAAGAATAACAAAGACAATACAAATTTTCCCAAGCCACTAAAAAATTGCCTCACTATCACTAAAATTCCTACCCTAACGACATATAAACTTCTGCTGCTTCAATCCTGAAAGAACTATGCACTATTAAAGGAGAGTTGCATGACAATCCTAAAGCCCGTACGAACATCAAGACCCAATACTTAAACTTTCCCATTATTCAATTTGATAGTTGAAGCATTTACAAACTCAAAGATTCAATCTTGTAGCAAAAGCGAGTAAAATCCCAAATTTCAGGGTTTCATGCTACATGAATGCAATAGAATTATATAGCTTAGGGTCAGCTTTGTCAATTCAATCCAATATAAATCCATGTTTCAATTGATCCTTATTGAAAATCCCAACTCCAAGTATTTTCTATAAATTTGTCAGCTTTATCAATCTAACATAAATTTATGTTTCAACTGATCCCTACTGAAAATCCTAACTCCATGTTTCAACTGTGACATTGTAACATACAAACTAATCGGTTATTCATAATGTGCTCTACCACCAAACCTAATCCTAACCTTTCAAAATAAAAAAAAAACCCTAGTTCCCATTGTATATAACTGGGAATGGAAGCTCTAGCGGCTGTCCTGCATTATTACAGTATTAACTGAAAGAATAACAAAGACAATACAAATTTTCCCAAGCCACTAAAAAATTGACTCGCTATCACTAAAATTCCTACCCTAACGACATATAAACCTCTGCTGCTTCAATCCTGAAAGAACTATGCACTATTAAAGGAGAGTTGCATGACAATCCTAGAGCCCGTACGAACATCAAGACCCAATACTTAAACTTTCCCATTATTCAATCTGATAGTTGAAGCATTTACAAACTCAAAGATTCAATCTTGTAGCAAAAACGAGTAAAATCCCAAATTTTAGGGTTTCATGCTACATGAATGCAATAGAATTAAGGGAGGGTGCCGTACTATTCAGTGACGTCTTCGAGAACCATGTTGACGTAGACATCAAATCCCCTCAGAGTCCCGACGAGCTCCTTGTCTCCCTTCATTATCACCCATATCTTCGACCCTATGCACCGGTCGATCAACTCTGCGAATTTTCAACCCAAACACCTCAAATTTTCCGCTTAATTTTCTCGAGTAAATACGACACAGTATAAAAAGAAACAGAGCGGGGCAAACCTGATGGGAGTAGCTGTGAGGGATTGTTGGCCATTGGAATTTGGAAGCAGAAAACTTTGGCTGCGATAGCGAACGAGTTGGCGGCAATCCCAGTCCGTCACTGTGAGTCGGGAAATCGGGCTAGATGCTTGGTAGTGTGTTTATAAGTGTACCAGATTTCAAAAGGCCAAAATACCCTAAGTGCTTTTTCATATTTACCTTTATGTGCTTTGAATTGGGTGTGTTATATGGATGATGTAATTTGTAATTTGTATTTTGTACTTCTAAAATGGGCCGCAATTGAGGTTTGGCATTTGTGTTTTTTAATACGTGATATTAAAAATGGAGGAATTGAATTTAGGATTTCGGATACATGATAGACACTCTTAACTACTTTTTCAGATTTCTGTCATGGAAGTTTTGATTTTCTTCAAGGATCCAATATGTGATTGATATATTTCTTGTCATTCTTTCAACATTGGACCAAGGAATTATTGGTGGCTTGTCCCAGGCAAGGGCCCAAATCATGACAAGTGTTTTTAGAGCATTTTGGTGAAAGAAGATTTGTACTAAAATGGAATACTTGAATAATAAGAAGGGTTCACATCACATGTCACATGTTAATTATGTGGACAAATTACATTAGGTTATAACTCACGGAAAGTATAGAGATACCAAAAGCATTTAGGGTTTATACATTAATGACTATATGTTGCATTTATAGGTGATTTTAGATTAGACAAATGTATTTAGGAGAAAAGGTTTGTTTTTAGAGGGTATATAGCCTTCGAATGTTTTAGCACCTATGATTTTTTTTTCTTTCCAATTTCCATATTTTTTTTTAAAGATAACATGTAACTTGAATGGTGAAACGATAAATTGACACTACTTTAAAGTATCTCAAATTTTGAGATGATTGTGTCAAATATTTTTTAAAGATAATAATGCGATTACATTGTGATCAAGGTCTTAAATATCGATAGTTTCGGAAATATCAGTGGTTCAAAAATATGGAAATATCGATGGAAATATCGGGAAAATATCGATATCGATAAAAATTGAATAAAAACCACGAAAATTGTGATAAATACATGGAAATTTTTAATGAAACTTTAGAAGAAGTTTATTTAGCAAATCATCTATTATTTTGACACACAAAATTGGAAGGAAATGCATATCATAGCGGGTTTGAGTGATTTAAGTTGATTATATTGCAAGCTGACAAACTCTGTGACTTAGAAAATTTGGAGTAATTAATGAAAGAGAATTAAACACCCCATAGTAATTTATTTATCATTTTTTAGTACAATATTTTACACTTTATAAATTGCATGGTAAAATACATGAGTAACCTTATTTCACATTATTCACTGGACATGGTACACGTTCTTATATTTATTATTTATCAAAAATTGAAAAATAATTAAAGATGTAAACCAACTTGATTTTTCATGAAAATTAGGAACTTTACCATGCTTAAAAAATAATAGTGAAGATTGAAAATTAACTAAGAACATAAATAAATTTATCTAAGGAAGAATCAAATAGTAAATAAAGAAAATAATTATAGAGATTTAAGTAATTAAGCAACAATTTGAAGGGGAATTTAGTAATGTAGGTACTTATAATGAATAATAAAATAATCAATAACATTAAATGGATTAAATAGAAAAGAAATAAATTATATTAAGTAATTAAGTTACTGATCAACAATATAAAACAAAGTAATTATGTTAATTTCTATTTTGAGAAATAGCTCACAAGTATTATAAATATAAATTCCATAGCTTACTATCACAAAGCAAGGACTGGCGTGGTGGTTAAGTTGCTACAGACCTCAGAATGGGGAAGGGGTTTGAACCCCTGCATGTGTAGTGAGTTTTCTTTAATTTTTGAAAGTTCATATCGCGATATTATCGATATTATCGCGATATATTGACCATTTGCAGCGTTCATTTGGACGAAAATATCGTTATCAAAATATCGGCGAAATTATCAAGGAATTGACGATATATATATATATATGGAAATGTGCTAAAATTTCGCTGCCCAAAAAAAACGATATATATACGGATATATTTAGTTCCTTGATTGTGATGAACTCACAAAATCCTTTAATGGGAATTCGGACTCTAAAATGGAAAGCAAACCAGTCAAACAATGTTTTAAGTCTAATAAGTGATATGAATTAAGCAAATGATAGAAAATTGGAGATTTAGAGTCAAACTTATATGATAATAGAAAAATAGTTTGCACAAACAATGTTGCTTGCACTCAATAAAATACACAATACAACCAATTTTATTAATACAGATTACAATATAATTGTGGTGACAAATAAGCGTCCAATGAACGACATTATGGATGCAAAATCAAAACGCATGCAAACACCGAATGAACCTGCCCGTGGGCCCGACAACCACCTGATTTGCGCCACGTGTTATGAACAGGCAAAGGCAGTCTCGACCGCTCCATCGTGGCGGTTGCAAGAGCCGCTGGTTAGTGGTTACCCTCCATTTTCCAAAACGCATTATAAATACCGAAATTCATGTGACGTTTTTTCACAATTTCCCAAATTTCTATTTTATATCTCACACACAGCGATTTCTTCACGCAATCTCTCACCCCACACCAAATTCAAGGACGAATTCAATCACTTCTGTTTCTCTTGTAAATCCTCGCCTACTTTGATTGTGTTCAATTTCCAGTAAATTGTTCATGTTGATCTAATTATTGTTGTGAATTTGATCGGGTTTGGTCCTTGTTGAATTGGGTTGTTAATGGATTCTTGGGTATTTTTCTAAAAACCTGAATTTAATGCCTGTTTTGTTTTTCTTAATCCGTTGATGATCTGAATCGGAATAGTGGTAGAGTTATGGGTAGGGTTTGGATGCGATTTGGGGTTTATCTGTGGGTTTAGATAATTGATTTTGATTGGGTAAAGATTTGTACTTTGACCATATTGATCCCTACCCAGTGCAATGCTCAATTTCTGTTTAGCTATGCTTAATTTCCTTTGGATTTTAGGTTTGAAGATGGCATTGGGTTGTCGTCTATTTGATTACTATTTGGGTTTCTTGTTTAGATTTTTTGGTAACTTGTGGAATTTTGTGTATGTTTTTGTATATGAAAGGGCTGGATGAGTGTAAGCCCTTTTAGAATATCTGATCAGCGTTAGAATCAGTGTAAGATATTTAGGTGGTGAGTGTAAGCTCTTTCATGATCTGATCATGTTGGGGTAGGTGGGTTATTGTTAACGATTATAAGATGTTGGGTAAGGTTTAAAAAGATATTGGGGTTTTCATTATCTCGGCAGCGCTTTTAAAGGTTTTTGAAATGTCAGTTCAAAATTAATCTGGTCTGAGGCATGTATACAAGCATGCTCTTTCTAATGATATTGCATCTAACCGTCGCTGAATAATACAATGATTGGATTACGATTTTGTGGACATGACATCAATTATGTCTTGTGGTATAACTGCAGGTCTCAGTCTCACTGGTGATCTGTTGGCCTGAGAAGTAGTCGTTATATATTTAATCAAGAAATCTATCACTTCAAGTTCTGTACTGCTGTCCATTTGCTGCATTATTTATCTCACATTTTGGAGCATTGTAAGAGTGGTTGCATTGTGATTTCTATTAAAGTCAAGTAAAGATTCAGTATTTTTCAGTTGGTAACGCAATAGAGATCAGAAGCTCCAGTAGGGAACTTATTTAGAGCTTTGCATTTTGGTAAGTGTATATCTAGTTCAATGATTCATTATATTTTTTTATCTGTTTCAAATAATGTGTTTTTATTCGGGCTCTTCTTGATATATGATTATTCTGATTTCACATAATCTTAAGTTTGTTGAGAATAAAGGTATCACAGTTTTGGCAGTACTAATTTCATAAACTGTTAATAGGAGTTGACAGTTCTTTTGTATTAGACTTACTTTGTACATTCTCTTAGAAACTTCAAACGTGGTTGGGTTTTCTTTTGTACATTGTTAGCTATCTAGACTTTGAGTAGTTTCTTATTTTCCTCCTTGTCAAACTGAATTTGACAGTTGTTCAAAATGGTATTAGTACTTTTGATTCCTAAAGACATATTTTATAGTGTATGGGGAAGGGATAATGTGAAACATTATACCAAGGTTTGTACCATAAAACATTTCTACCCAATAGATGCTTCTATTGTCTAATGTGATAAGAGGAATAAATTGCTGCTGTCTGCAACATGACCATAGTGTTTTCCCCCTTCTTATGTAATTGATGAACATTGAGTTATGCATGATAGTTCTTGTGTCCTGATAAGTTCAACTTGCTGAGTAAATCGAACAGTGTATGCAAGATGGCTGGTGTGAAACGAAGAATAGAAACTGATTCAGATATTCGTGCTCTTTACAAAGAACTGGATGCGGTTACATGCCCTATCTGCATGGACCATCCACATAATGCAGTTCTCCTGCTTTGCAGCTCGCATGAGAAGGGTTGCAGATCTTATATTTGTGATACAAGTTACAGGCATTCAAATTGCCTGGACCGTTTTAAAAAGCTGAGGGAAAATACTAGGAACAGTCCAACTCTACCCAGTTCTTTACCTGTAAACCATTCTGATTCTCATAATATTTCTGATCTGAACATCCCCTCGAGGACAGAATCAAATGAAGCTAATGAAACTCACAATCTGATTGAAAGCAATACTCTAATATCTGTTAATTTACCTGGACCGCCACAAGGACATATTATTCAAGATCTAAATAGGCCTTTAGAAGCACAAACAGAAGGTGTTCTGGAAGTGGCTGATTCCGAGTCATTTCAGGAAAGGGTTGAGCATGATGAGTTGGATGGGGAGAATTCACCAGATTCAAAACTGAGCTTGAAATGCCCTTTGTGCCGAGGAGCCATTCTTGGATGGGAGGCTGTAGAAGATGTCAGAAAGTATCTTAATCTGAAGAAGCGAAGTTGCTCTCGTGAATCATGCTCATTTTCTGGTAACTACCAGGAGTTGCGCCGGCATGCCAGGAGAGTTCACCCAACCACTCGACCCTCCGACATTGATCCATCTAGAGAACGAGCCTGGCAACACCTTGAGCACCAAAGAGAATTTGGTGATGTTGTCAGTGCTATTCATTCAGCCATCCCAGGTGCTGTTGTGGTTGGGGACTATGTTATTGAAAATGGAGATAGGCTACCAGGGGGAGGGGAAAGTGGTGCAGGTGAAGCTAATGGACCTTGGTGGACTACTCTGTTTTTGTTTCAGATGATTGGCTCAGTTGACCGTGCTGGGGAACAAAGGGCTCGATCAAGGGCTTGGACGAGACATCGGCGTTCAGGTGCTTTATCTGAACGCCGGTTTCTTTGGGGTGAGAATTTGTTGGGTCTTC